CACCTTACAAACTGTGAGCTTCTAGCAGTGTCAATTTATTTGAAATTAATATTCAAACTATTAAACAATACAGGGTAAAAATACACCAAAGTAGTTTGGGGCAGGACATGTAAATTTAGGGGTATAAGAGTTTTACAAAAAAACAAAAGCATTATCAAGAAGAAATGTATGATTGGGGTTATAAAGATATTTAGTCGTAACATCTTGGATTAGCTTGATTTAGAATAATTTTGCACATTTTATGTACTTTATATGTAAAAACACAATTTGTTTGATATCAAATATTATATAATCTGAAAAACAAGATAAGAAAAGGCACAAAGCAAAATTGTTTTAACAATTATTTACAAAAATTAATAATGTACATATAAATTTAAAAATACAAATGTATAAATTGGTATTTACAAAAATCTACTGGCACATAAGTCACAACTACTCTGTAAATGACAGTAGCACATTTAATAATAACTTGAAAGGTGGCAACTGTTACTGTGCAATTTTTAAATGTACAAACAGCATGTGCACATCAACTGTACACAATATTAGCGTGACCACTTCTTCTTTTTAAATTTAAGCATATACAACTAAATCTAGTGTAGGCACCATTAGATTTTTCTTTGAACCATAATTTCTTCAGTATTTAACAACATTGGACACATTTTACATGAAGATTGTATTAAAACCTGGCATGACAACAAATCATGAACTATGTTACAGACTGCCTTGGTTTGATAACCAATCAGTATCATAAAATGATTGATGCTTAAATTAAATTTACAATAAACTAGAGCTCCAAATACTAAGTTTTCAATAAATAGTGATACCACACTGAATAACAATAGCAGATGAAAACAATTGTAAAACTATTTACATGACAATAAGTGTGAATATCTTTCCAAATAATATAAAAATGGTTAATAAAACATCACACACTGATTCAAATTACAATGTAGTTATTTTTTTTACTACTACTGAAAACTATGTAAATCATTCACTCTGGATCATATTTACCTGCCCTTATCTGGAAAACAGATTGAAAGAAAAGATGACAGAGACCCCCACTCCACTCTTGTCATGAGTACCTTTAGAACTAGATACAACATCCCACTGAACTGTGATTTATTATCTTGTCACATCAACATCAAAACCATATTGAAGTAAATCATACAAATAAACAGACATTTGACGCATAGCTAGTATTATACATGTTCTGTTAGAAATAAAATTATCAGACATCTGCAATCATTTCTTAAAATTTTCAATTTTAATTTTTAATCTTGAGATTATTACAAAATAAACATGATATAATATTGCTTTGCATCACTATTGCATTCATATTAACACTTTGATATCTTCTTATTGGTCCAACTTTTGCAATTTTTTATTTGTATTTATTTTAGACAAAATGAACATAGACAAATTATTATTTTTTAAATGTGTTTATTATTAATGTTAATTGACAAAATGCAGTGGTAGTAAATGTTTCATTCAATAGACAACTCAGGGTTAACATATTCTGTCATAATTCACTAGCATTGTAATAATTTTATCTCTAGTCCTCTCGAAGGAATCAAATGTCCAATAAATTATAATAATATACTGTTGAATTCAGTGTATAGTTTTGTAAAAAGTGCAAGGGTTTATACATATATATATATATACTTTGTACCTGCACTATATTTTTCAAATTACACAGACAAATAAATTAAGTGAGCTGATTATTTGTTCAGATTAGTGAAGACCATAAGGGCATACTATGCCCTAAAAAAAAAGGTTTCACTTCTCATCATTGTATGCATGAGTTAGAAATCTGCAACTTCTGCATTTATTAGCTTACACCACAGTAAAATGTTCAAGTGATAGAATAAGGATATGTTGATAGCATATTTCAAAACACATTTTTCACAATTTTAGTATCAATTAAAATAGATATGTTAATTCCTTAATGAATTTATTCAATAAATGTTGTTGTTGAAGTATTGAATAATCTTAAATAAATACAGCACAGCATTTTTTTACTTTTCCTGGGATGAGAAGTAAAAACCCTTTTCTAATGAACATGTTAACCCCTGAATTAAGAGAGGGAGGAATGAACGTAAAACAAGCTGGTTTTGATGCTAACAAGACAAAACAAATAAATCAAGCCAGATAAGAACACACCATACAAGCTATGATATTGTAACTAGCTCTACCGATAAGTCATATTAAGAGGAGAGGGAGGTCTTTTAGGAGAGCCATAGGAGGGATTACCTAATTGACGCATTGGGTGTTGACGTGATTGCTGGACGTAATCAGGCATCAAGGTCTCCATTGAACGATGAAGTCTGTTTCCTACAAAAGTACAATAATAATGTAAGTTAACATAAATATCAGGTAATTAGATAAAAACACATTTGTAAACAAGACAATTGTTTTGTACCATTATGTTTTTCTACTCTGAACAAAATTGGTGATGTGATGATGGACACACCCACAGATGGACTGAATCCCAATCATAAATCTGAACTATATTTGACAAAGACTACTAACTCATTAAGTCAAAATAAATATAACAATAGGTCGTATAATTATCAAAACGCAAAAAGTTGCCAATATTTCTTCTAACTTACCAGAACGACTATTACTCCTTGATAGCCCTGCAGATTTACTTGGCCTATTCCTAGGATATAAAATATAAAAATACTGAAGACAGTATAGAGGAATCAATCTATGAATGACATCACATGACATGAATAGAGAAGTCTGATTCATCTGTTATATCACATGACATTAACAGAGAAGTCTGATTTGTCTGTGACACCACATGACATTAATAGAGAAGTCTGATTCGTCTGTGACATCACATGACATTAATAGAGTGTCACATCAGATGAATAATATTTTAAAACGTTAAATTCAAATATTTCAAATTTATGTATATTTTCTAATACATATTGCATTCATTGTAGTTTGCTCTGTTTGTGTTGAGCATGTAGTAGGTCTTTCCAAATAAAAATAGATTAGTTTGATTCGTCTGTGACATCACATGACAAGAATGGAGCAGTCTAATTCATCTACATTTGTATTAAATTATATGTGACAAACCTAAATCTATTTGCTTGCAATGACCTCATTCTTGGCTCCATTCCTTCAAGATAACCTGGTACATGGCCAGATTTTGGCCGTTGCCCAGCAGCCATATAATGCAAATTTCTACCACCGCCCAACCAATCATTGGCACTCTTAATGTACAGCATAGTTCCTGTTTTCGGATTGGGACGTGGTTTATAAATACTTCTAGATGTTGATGATAAAGGTGAACTTGGCCTCTGAGGAGGTGGCGAGATTCTTCCTAAAACAAAGAATAAATAAATGTCAAGTTAAAACAGACAGAGAGATATAATTTATGCTATATTGATTCTATGTTGGATTGTGGGAACTTAGTGATTCAATGATTGTGAATCTTAGGATGACATCACTATGGTGTTTGACTCATAATTAGATGACATCACTGTGATGTACAACTCATGATTTAATGATGTCATTGTGATGTAAGACTCATAATGACATCACTGTGTAATTGATAACAATACACTACCTTGAAGACTGACTCTTGGAGTAGGACTTGGTGTAACTGACACTACAACTCCTGTTTTCCTCCATGCTTCAGTTCTTTCTCTTTGATATTCAGTGATAGTTGAACTATCAGGACGGGTGATATCAAAGTCCATCAGCGGTTGTGTTTGCTGGGATACTATGACTTTGAGTGATCTCTGAGTACACACAGATCTACAATCAATGGACAGTGTGTTAAATAAATAAATACAGTCATTGCCAGAAATGTTTGCGTCATTAAAAACATAGCATAACTATTATAACCATGTCCATTGAAAATGTATGGATGAATAACTAACTAACTAACTAACTAACTAACTAACTAACAATGCAATATATTTCGATTGAATGGGATATTAAAGTGAGTATACAAAAGTTCTTAAACAATGTAATAATATGCAATGTATTATCTAAGAATTTGGCTATTATAGTAAGAAGATACAGGCTAAAAAAATCATCAAAATTACATAAAAAAATACTACATGTACTATATTAACTTCAATGTCCTTCGTAGAATACTATAATATGAATTGTATAAAAGTCCCTAAACAATAATAGTACAGTAATTTTGCGGTATTGCATCCTACCATATTAGGAAACATGAATTCCTAATATAGAACAATTACGCATGTAAGTGTCCTCTAATAATAAAAAACAAAACATGGAAACCCCCATGGAAACATATAATAATAAGTTTATTACAAGGATACCGCAAAATATGCACTCAGACAGTATATGGTCGCATTGACCTCCGCTGTGCAACGGTCTATACTCCTGCACTGTCTTTGTGCATACTTTGCAGTATCCCCGTAATAATCTCATTAATTTCAATTTCCCCCATAGAATAACATGATTAGTGAAAAATTTAATAGAAAATAATAGTACAGCAATATACATTTTTGTATCAATAAAACTATTTCTAAGGATGCAATAAATCTATTATGAAAAGTAGTATTATAATAGTAGTATTGACCCTGTATAAAATATTCTAGTTATTGAATTAAACACAGAGTCAACATCAATTGACTTAAATTGTTTTTACTTTCCAGGTATCGCAGCTAAATGATTGGTATTTGTGAAATTATTTTAGAAAGTAGATATACATGTACAATTATGGTATTAAAGTAATTACCTGGATGAACTAGATCTTTGCATGGCACTCTTGGCTCTTGATGGGTTTGCAGTGGACCTGGGACTAAAGAACAAATCAAAAATGTAAATGCTCATGAAAATTTTTAATCACATTGTTTATTGATCCAAGTATCTATTTGGCTTTTCTGTGAGCATTTGTTTTGAATCTGGAAAAACTCAGCTAAAAAGGTGGAATGGCTGTTGATGTCTTAACAGCCTTTGATCTCTGCTACAACTATGAGTTACAAAATCAAGCTGGTAAGATACTTAAAATGAATAATTTTATCTTACTAGTGAACTCTAAAGAATTAAAAGAAACTGTTTTAGTTGGATTATTGATTGCCAATCTCTACCATATCATTATTTGCATAATTAGTTAATAATATTCAATGTTAGATACATGTGGGCCGAGTTCCAACCATGTGCTAGAGAGCTGCAAGCACCACTATCCATGCTTGCTTCACAGGGAAATATAAGAAATGTGTCAAATAGCATAGTTTATGACATAAAAGTTGTCTGTCTTAACCAAATCACTCACATAGCTTGAGAAGAATGAGTAATGAGTGATTACAAATGCATGTACACTGCAATGATCCAGGTTAGATGAGTGGATAATTATAGCCATTTTGATCAGTCAATGCACATCAAAAACATGGCATGAGAACACATTTGCATTCAGCTATTTTGAATTTGATCTGAAAAAAACCATTATGTTCCTGTAACAGTATTGATCTGAAACATTGGCCTGGGCGATGTTTTGGACTTGAATAAAGTGTCCAGATAATCCTAATAAGCCAAACTCAACATTGTCAGGAAGGAATGATTTCCATACAGTAACTTAATGTTAGTGTGTTTGCATTTCTCTGACACGAAACCAGAGTTGTGGCAACTGCCCACATTTGATTATTAAGTCAATAATATTTAACCTAATTACTCAAATACAGTTGTAGCAAATAATAGACAACATAGATAAGAATTATATTAAATTTTACAGTAATTGATGTGTACGTAACTGTTAATGTGA